AAGATGAATCAATATATAAATGCAAACGATAGGTGTCGAATAGAGCTCTCTGCTGTTAGGTTTGGATAATGAAGATGGAGGAGAAAAAAAACTCACGGAAAAATAAAATAGGATGAGGAAAATTAAAGAGTAAGATATCGTAACAGCTAGGGGTGTAAATGAGCCAGGATAACCCGGCCTACATTGAGCCCAGCCCGGCCTTTCAGAAAAAGTAGAGTATGCTTAGGCTTATGAAAAAGCTTTTTTAACAAATAGGCTATAGGCCAATTTTGTCAAGCCCGGCCTACAGTCTTGTACGCTGGCCTATTTAATTTATTAAAATAAAATAGTAAAATAATATTTATTTTAGGTGGCAATGGGTACCTTGTTGGATTATGATGTTAATGATGAAGATCTTTCAATAATACTCTTCTTTCCCTTGTCTTGATGGTGGTTTAAAGATTTTTAGATGAATGATATTCTCTTGTAGACTTTATTTCAGCATCCAGTAATTGTATTTTTCTTATTTTTCCTATTTCTTTGACTTTATTCCTCTATGATATACATTCTAGAGCTGGGGTATTATGTTGACTCTTTATTGTTTGTCATTTTTTTCTTATGAGAAGTACTAGTGCATGCATGAATGAAACTTTCTTTGCTCTATACAATTAATTTTTTTGCTTAGTATCTACAGTGGGAGGCCTACAAGGCCTGTAGGCCATGTCAAGCTTTCTTATTTTTAAAAATGTGTCGGGCTTGGCCTACAAATAAAGCCTTTAATAGGCTAGATAGGCTGAATTTTTTTTTTACGTAGGCTTGGGCCAGAAAGACCAGAGTCCGGCTCAGCCCAGCCCATTTACACCTGTAACACCCCGTATATATCCGGTAATGTTATCATAATATCGTATTAAGCTGCGCTTAATTAAAATTGCGAAATTACTTTTTCTTTTCAATTATGATGCCATTAACATTACCAACTTGCTTAATAATCAATTAATAAAACATCGCATGTATGTAATTGCAATAAAACAGCTAACTGAAATACCTCATAACATAGATAACATAAGTGTGGCTCTAGTCACGGAACTACAACAATGTAGACCGGACCATCTAACAGTTTATACAGCTCCAATCTAAAAAGTACTAACTGAGAGTGTCATGGACAATCCCCATGCTCACTCGAAGAAGGCAACATGCCCAACATCAGTCTCAACAACAACATAATGATAAAAGGCATAATACATAATCAGCATCAATATCCAGTCATGCTAACAAATAAGCGGAAACAACATAATCAACTAAGCTCCGGCCTCCCGCCGCCTGAGGCATCAGTACCCATACTACCTGATCCCGAAATAAGCATTCCCCAAACGTAGGGTAAGATCTCTAATCTAGAAATCTTAGTAAGTCAGTGAGTCCTCAAGGATCTTCCACCCCAAGCTCACTTACATGTGCAATATAAGTTCAAAAGCAGTTTATCATTTATCATTTCTAAAACAATGCAATGCAGCAGATAATCATGCTATGTGTGTCAATACTAATCTACTGGCCAGAGACAGTGCAGGTATACGTCTATCACCTACACACCGTGCAAGTACCACTTGCATTCACCCCGGTACACCGTCTTGTATGGCGCTACATACTCAGGCTTCCCGTCAAGATGAAACAACACATGCATATTAAAAGCCATTACATGTAAAGTTCAATCAACATATCAAATATCCAAAAGCATGTACACAGCATGCATAAACCATACCCCCATGGGGACATGGTGGAACCACAACATGGCTAAACCGAGGACACGAAAGCTTACCTTGCAAGCTAACTCCAAAAGCCAAGAGTCCACAGCTCAAAGTCCAAACACAGCAGATTCACAATCTGTTATGGACCAATACTATATTAATAATAATGCAACACAAGCATATAACTTAAAGACAACGCCTTTCCTTATGTTTTACGCCTTAAGGCTCCATACCAAGCCATAAGTCCTTAATCACAACGATTCTGACTTAAATCATTAATTACAGAAGTTCAACTTCATCAATCTAGGGTTTACAAACCCCCAATAGCTTACTGTACACACAACACAGCTACTGTTCTACGAAATCCCAGAATATCCGGATAGTCCTCGGGACCATATCCGGATATGCAATATCCGGATATCTCACTGGACATATCCGGATATGCAATATCCGGATATCCAGAATCCCATATCCGGATATCTATTATCCGGATACTCAAAACCCATATCCGGATATCACATATTCGGATATTCATCGGGCACATATTCGGATATTTCACGACAGAATGCAGAAAATGCATTTCGTGAAGATATCCTTCTAAGGTTCCATTTTTAACACTTACTTACATTAAAGCATGCATCTTTATACTGATTAAGGTCCACACCCCAGTTGGTTACTTGATTAATCCTTTAAACAAGCAAAGATCACACATTTAACCCATTAAAACACAAGCTCATGCTAGGTACAACTCACCAAAGCTCAAAACAGAGGATCAATGGCTCAAGGAGCTCACCACACTGCCTCTATAGGTTCTGGAAATAAGGTGTACGAAAATGCAACACAAAGGTTGGTCCTTTCTTCACAAAGAAGCTTCTTGAAGCTTCACAAGCCAAGTAGGAAGCTCTCACCCTCACACAAGACCACTCAGCCCACAAACTGACTTCAAACAGTCATTCAACTCAGAACCACAACTCTCTACACACTCACAAAGGCCACTCACACAAGGCTCAAGTGTTTGGAGGTGAAGAAACCAAGCAAAGTTGACACTTGATCTCCCAAAATGGTGAAGAAAGCTCAATGGAACAGTAGCAACTGACCAGCCACTCCAGCATTCACGTAGCAACAGAAAACCTAGGGTTTTGTGCCCTTAACAAGGGTATCTATAGCCACTTACCCAATTAACACACAGTATTAACTTTAATTGCTACGCTTAGCATTTTAATCCCAAACCTTGGAATCTGAAACTACACATTTTTCCAAGAATTAACATATTTTTCTTATAATTTTCTGAGCACCTTTTCGGTACGCGTTTTTCCAAGCCAGTACTGGTTTCTAGTACCAGTTCTCATTATCTGGACTTGAAACTCGTTTTACAAGTCCTACATATTATTCTAGTAAATATCATGCACTTACATTAATTTTCTGTGATACTTTTTCGGTACGCATATATACCGACTAGCAGAACCGGTATCTGCACTTTTCTTCTGAAAAGCGACTTTCAGCATTATTACTCACTTACTATAATTATTAAAGCCTCATAATAATTATTAGGGTCAATTATGGAATCATTTCCTATTTTCTCGTAATTTATTAATTAAATTCCTTAATTAACGGTGCGGGTTCTTACAACACCCCTAGTAACAGCCAATTAGTACTACCAATCAATTTCACCGTTAGATCGATTATGTTGATCCAACGGTTATATTTATTTCTAGCTTTGTATGGTTATGATCCCCATATTTAATGTAAAAGTATTAAATATGGAAAATCATAACCATACAAAGGTGAAAATAAATATAAAGTATTAAATATGGAGAATCATAACCATACAAAGATGAAAATAAATATAACTGTTGTATCAACATAATCGATCTAACGGTGGAATTGATTGGTAGTAATATGAGTAGTAACCTTAATTGGTTGTTACAATATCCTACTCAAAATTAAATTGGGAAACTTGAATTTTAAGATAATGGTATTTTTGTATTTTTGCATTATATTTTAAGGGTGGGCACTTGCCCCCTTCTCTTCAACCTAGATCCGCCTTTGCACTTACCCATAAGCTTTATCAGACAACTTTATTGAATATTGTTAAAACAAAGAAAAAGTAAAATATTGAAATGACAAAGACAAACAGAACTGCACAATATGCTAACAGACTCACTATTATAAAATCAATATCTTTGCCCCCCTTTTTTTATTCAAAGAAAAACCCAAGAACCCAAGTATAGTGCATGAAGTAAATTCACATTGTATCTATTCGAACCCAATACTTGAGCATACAATAATAAAATAAACACATGTAATCGTTGGTGCATCAAATGGAAACAATTGCAACCTAACTCTAATGTTTACAACCTTGCTCCGGAGAGACAACGAGATGAGGAGATCTTCCGTGCAGCAAGCGGTGCCGCGATGGTTTATGTCTTGGTCGGTATGGAAAGGGGAAGCGGTCTATATGGTGAAAAAAAATGACCTGGTTCTCTCTTTGAAAACGTAAATTATGTACTCACTTCTTTTCTGGTTTCTGGCCTCCTCCACCCTTCCCTTAAATACCCAAAAAAAGTGTGATTCTTGATGGCTAAAGATAATCCTAGAGCTTGTACGTATATTTTGTCAGCCGACTTCTACGACTTCAACTGCTCTGATATCTTCAAAGATTTTGCCAGTCTCAAGCCTTTTATGTTTTTTTCTTCAAAAGCTTATGACGCTGATATCTTCCAAGATCTTCCCTTATCATGCGTGAGTCCTCATTCCCGCCAAACCATAATGTTGTACCCATCCTCTCAATCTTCTCCACCATTAACAAAGCAAACCAAAATAGCAGGTGAGGAAAAAAAATAATACAACAACTTGTGCGCTGGAGGAATAGTTCTTTCTTGTCTTTTTTTGATTTTATTATTTATTTATTTTGTTTTGAAAGCATAATTTTTAGTAAAAAAATTCATTTTTTATTTTTATTTTTTAATAATATTTTTCTGGTAAAAAATGAATCGTTATAAAAGAAAAACAAAAATATACCCGATCAAAATAAGGTGTTCACAAGTTCAGAGGCCTTTACCTTGTAAGCTTCAACCAAGTCAAAAAGGAAGATTTTCAAGCTTCAAAACCTCATTCTTTGACCATCTTTGGATGATGCACGAAAATGGGTCTTTGTGGGATGGGTTTCTTTCTCTCAAAAAGAGCTCCTAAAGTTGAAGGTATTAGAAACTAAAAGCTTTCTTAACTGGAAATTCTGAATATTACTGAATGATCAAAAGTATCATAATAATACATCACCTATGTATATATAGGTGCTAAAGAATTCAGCTCTCGAAGCTCAAAGAGAAAAGCTAACGCTAACAATATAGATAACAAACTAACTAACTTTCAATAACAGAAAATGGTTCTGTTCTGTTATGATTAGTTTGATGCACGTATAATGATGAAGCTAAATGAGCAGAAGTTGCATATGGGACTGCACATAAGACGTGAGCTGGGACTGCACATGAGACGTGAGTTGAGTTATGGATATCAGATTCTATTACCCCCCCCACACACAAGATGAGCGTAGGATGTTAATTAAGCCCAACTTGGAGACTATAGAAGAATAACTGGATGTTGTCAATGGCTTGGTAAATATGTCAGCTAATTGGGCCGAAGATGAAACTGGTAAAAGATGAACTAAACCAGATGCAATCTTTTCACGCGTAACATGACAATCCAGTTCGATATGTTTTGAACGTTCATGAAATGTTGCGTTATGGGCCAGATATATTGCAGACCGATTATCACAGAAAAAAGACGCGGGTTTGACACAATTTTGTGAGGTACAATTTTGATATGTTCCTTTATCATGGACTATCACATATAAGCCGTTCTTCTCCTCAGCAGTACCAATCATCACTTGGGAGGGGACCTGTTTTATGAAACAAAAACGTCCACTAAAGGTTAAAGAACAATTAATGGAACTGACCAACTTGGTAACAGATATCAGATTCACACGAAATTCGGGAACAAACAATACATATGATAAAGTGAGTGTGGATGAGAGAACTACTGAACCTGAATGAGATGACATAACACGAGAACCATCAGGTAACACTATGGCTATATTATCAATTTTGTGAATAGAAGAAAAACTAGAAATTAAGTAGGATATGTCATCAGTGGCCCCAATGTCAATAATCCAATGACCATGCAATATACATGGTTTAATTGTGTTAGAGTGAGAGACATGTGAGATATTAGCAGCGTGTGTGGGTTGATTCACAAGATTTTGAAGAAGTGATATGAGCTGATGATATTGCTCATGAGAGAATCGTGGAGTGACAACATCAGTTTGCTGATTATGCACATTTGAGGACTTCTCATCTGAAGTAGCATTAACTACATTGTTACTGTTGTGTTGAGTATCTGTATTCCTTGATCGAAAACCTTGTGGATAACCATGCAATTGGTAGCATGTTTCTATCGTGTGGTTAGTTCTACCACAATGTGTACAAATACTGTTTCCAGAAACACCTCGTCCTGCATTGCTTCTACCACGACCTCTTCCATATCTACCAAAAGATTGATTGAAGTTTCCACGACCCCTATCATTGCCTCCACTATTATTGAAGGCAACAAAAGGTTGGGAAATAGTTTCATCACTAGTACCAGATCTGAATTGTCTCTCTTGTTGCACCACCATAGAGAAAACTTTGTTTACATTTGGAAAAGGATCTATCATCATTATCTGAGATCTTATAGCTGCATATTGATCATTAAGACCTTTAAGAAATCGTATGACATGATCTCTATCTCGGTATGATCGCATTTTTGTCTTTGCTCCACAAGTGCATGAAGGAAGGCATTCACAAGAAAGGAGAGATTTCAGATTCTCTAACTCATCCCATAACATTTTCATCTGAGTAAAAAATTCTGTCACACTTCGTTCCCCTTGATGAATTTTGTAGATCTCCTCTTGAAGATCAGAAATACGGAAAATATCACATTGTGCAAATTGATCACGCAAGTCAATCCATGCATCACGAGCGCTTTCAATCCACAAGATCGATTTCGCAATTGATTCACAAATGGATTTGTGGATCCAAGCCATCACCATTGTATTACACCTCTGCCATTGAGAGTAGGTTACATCATCAGTTGGAGGAGCCACAAGTGAGCCGTCAATGAATCCAATCTTATTTTTGGAGAGCAAAGCTACACTCATTCCACGAGCCTAAATGTGGTAGTTATTGCCGATCAAAATAGGAGAAACAAGAACCAATGAAGGATTCTCATTGGAATGCAAAAAAAGTGGATTCGAAGGATTAGTATGAAAATCCATGAAGGAAGCATTTGGATCTTCCATTGTTGCTGATCGAGAGAAAAACTATGGAGGCAAAAGTACCAGAGCTTGAAGCTCTGATACCATACCAGAAACTAAAGCTTTCTTAACTGGAAATTCTGAATATTACTGAATGATCCGAAGTATTATAATAATACATCACCTATGTATATATAGGTGCTAAAGAATTTAGCTCTCGAAGCTCAAAGAGAAAAGCTAACGCTAACAATATAAATAACAAACTAACTAACTTTCAATAACAGAAAACGATTCTGTTCTATTATGATTAGTTTGATGCATGTATATTGATGAAGCTAAATGAGCAGAAATTGCATATAGGACTGCACATGAGACGTGAGCTGGGACTACACATGAGACGTGAGTTGAGTTGTGGATATTAAATTTTATTAGAAGGCAAGATGCTGCCTTCACTTGGAGTTGAAGGTTAAGTGAAATGATGAAGAAATGCTTGGTCCTTCATAGGTGGTTGGTCAAACAGTAATGGAGGAAGAAATGGGTGTCTCACGGCCAAAGGAAAAAGAAAAGGAGAGGGAGGTAACATGAGAGAAGAGAGAGAAAGTGAGGAGAAAAATGAGAAAGTGTGACTTTTAAGTGATATTCTCTCTCCTACAAGGCTTTTATCTTTTATTTCCTATACACTCATTTTGATCCACTAATTATTAATTTTAGACTTGTAAAATTAACATGGAATGAGTTTCATGAAAATATTTCTATATTTTAAGTAATTTTTACTTAATCATATTTTTACCCTAAAACTTTTATTACTTGCATTTTTATCTCGAAAACTGACTTAACTTAAAATTTAGGTTTTTATCTAATGAACCTCTTTTAATTATTAAGTAATTCCTAATTACTCAATATAACTATTTGGGTCATTATAAGTGTTTGACATAATTAATATTTTTTATTTTTTTAATATTAATATAATATTATATTTTTAGAGTGAAGTTGTAGATGTTGAACCCAATACCTCTTTATTTTTTTTTGGATATTAGCGAAAATAAACAAACAAAACAAACTAACTAAGGATCATTCTGGGTATAGACAACCCCCACAAGATCCTTTTCTATAAGCCTAGTACAACTCAAAGGAGCATTAGGCAACACCACTAAGTCCCAAGTACCATGATCCACCAGCCCAGCCAAACAGTCAGCAACTGTATTCCCATTTCTACTAATATGTTTAAACATCACCTTCCAATCCATGTTCTTCATTTCCTGTATACGATTCACAACTTGGAACAAAGGATTATCAGAAGAGCAGCCATTTTGAATAAAGTATAAGGCTTCAAGAGAGTCTCCTTCCCATTGTACCTGTCTAAATCCATGATCCCATGCCACCTGAAGACCCAAAAAAGCACCCCATAATTCAGCCTTCAAAGCATTGCCTTGACCAACCTTCTTCCAAAAGCCAACAATCCATCTACCATGGCTATTGCGCAGGACCCCACCACAACCGCTTCTCATACCATCAAGGGAGCATGCTCCATCTGAATTTACTTTAATCCAACCCTCATGGGGAAGCTGCCATTTCTCAGTACAATCCACCATATTTTTAAAACTATCATCAATAACTTCTAAGGTTTTCCCAGCATGGATAAGATTATTCACATAAGTTCTAACCTTAAAACAAAAGCTTTCAGGAGAGCACACTTCATTACGAAAAACTAGGTTATTCCTAGCTTGCCATAGCATCCAACAAGTGGTTCCAAACATGAGGCTCCAACTCTGTTCGAGCTTCTGTCCCTTTTTTGTCCTCAGGTTTTCACAGAGCCAGTCTTGGAAGCTGCTAACAGAGAACATGATACCATTAGTCTTAAAATTCATCATCTCCCAAATCTGTTTGGTCCAGGCACATTCCCTCATTATATGATTGCAATCTTCACAAGGGATAAAGCATCTTGGACAGTGATCCTCTCCTCCCATATGCCTCCTACTCCTTTGTGCATTAGTCAGGAGACTATTACTTAGAAGGAGCCACAAAAAATGCTTTATCCTTGCAGGACCCTGCCATTTCCAAGCACACTCCCACAAATTATTCTGACTTGGCATGCTAGCTGCCTCTTCCCTGATGAATTGGTATGCTGATTTGACAGAAAAGGAACCATTGCTAGAAGGCTTCCATATAACTTTATCGTTACCATTCTCCACCTTAGGGACCTCCATGTCTGCAATAACAGCACACACTTCAACAGGAAGGAAATAACTCAATTGATCCCAATCCCAATCTCCATTCAGTGTGACATAATTAGACACTTTCCTAGTTTGGACATTAGCAGGAACATGAGTAATGGCCTTATCAATGAGCCTTCCCATTCCAGAAATCCAGCAGTTCAGCCAGAGATTTGTGAGACTCCCATCTCCCAAAAGAACACTAGACCCAGCCACAATGTGATTCCGGCTAGAACACAGTCCCCTCCATATATTGCTGTCTCCAGATGACCTTGAGATTCTAGGAATCAACCCCTCCCCAACTTTATATTTGTTTCGCAGAACTCTAGTCCACAAAGTCTCTTTCTTGGTCAGTAAAAACCCAACACCTCTTTATTGATATAGCAAAGTCCTTCGTTCATCAAAATTCATACCAATTTAATTATTCCAAGAAAACATATTTAGGCAAATTTTGATTAGATTAATTAGCTGACAATTTTAAGAGCATTTTTAAGTTATGACTCATTCTCATCAAATTCATCAACATTATTATTCTGGATGAGAGAGAGTTGCTATTTCAGACTGAAAAATTTCACTATATGCTCTTTTAAAAGTCAATTTGTGCCATTATTGAAGAGCTCTTTTGCACACTCTGCTTTTTTTTTTTTTAAATAAAAAAAACTTTTCCAATTTAATTATCCATCTTCTTATGCTATTTTACATTTTTAATTCTAAAATCCGACGACCCTAACCTCTTCTTAATGTTTAATTCTTACGTCATATTTTTGGAAATAACGGAGACATCAACTGCAGATAATGGGAAAAAAAGCAAGTCTTTTAAGAGTAAAGTATTTGTCATTTTTTTTTTAGTATTCAAGTATTTGTCATTTTAAATGACATAAAGTTATGTCATTTTACAAGAGAGATAGACACAATAAATTATTTTTTATTAAAAAATTAAATTAAAAAAAATCACTCACTTTCTCTCTCATGATTTTCATTTCTTGTGTATATCTCTCTTCTAAAATGATATAACTTATGGCATTTAAAATGACAAACATTAAAGTTTAAACCCATGTTTTAATGGTATACTTTGATGTTAGTGGTTGCAAGTTGCAACATGATTCATGTAGCGTAATCTGAAAGTATATAACTCCTTTAACATGGATGCAATAATCATTGACACTAAATCCATTTATAATTTTATATTTGTACCTACTAGTTTAATGGTAAACAATAAACTTGAAATTAAATTTTGCCTTTACACTTAACGTATCCTTTCTCCTTATATTCAACTATTTATCAAAAATAAAAAGTTTAATGTTTCTTAAAGATAAAGTTATTTCGGCAATTCAAAATAATATCATTTGAAAATTGGAAAAATTCTTATCACAAGAGAGAATCGTAATTTCTAAAATATCGTGTATTATTTTTTTAAATCCCAAAATGATATTATATTGAGTTAAGAGAACTGATAGTCCCTCAAGCTTATCAATCTTACCAGCGTTAATCCTAAGAAAAAAATATTTTTATTTTTGCTAGAAAAAAAATTTCTGTCATACTCATAAAAATAACTGGATCCTATTATAAAAAAGAGAGATATTTGTGTGATTCATTCACTTTTACGTGAATATAAGAAAAAAAATTGCGGCAAAACATAAACATTAAAACTTTATCCTAATTATTCCTCGTGTGCACAAAAATTTAAAAAATTATTCAAATCTGACTAGGTATCAACATAACTCAATATTATGTTATCATGTCTAAATTATTGTAAATGTTGATTTTGTCGTCCCTTTTCACAAATTTTTCAAACTCGACTATTTATCTCCTTCATAAGAGAGGATCCATTTACTACTAACAAAATTTACAACTTTTACAACCAACTTAATTACTGTTGATTTTCGTCAATCTAACGGTTATAATTTATTAAAAATTAATAAATGTAACACAATAAATATTTTTAATTTTCAATAAATTATAACCGTTAGATTGACGGAAATCAACGATGATTAAGTTGGTTGTAAGAGTTGTAAACTTTTTTGGTAGTAAGTGGATCCGTTCCCTTATCCTTATCTCATTTGCTAGGAAAAACAAATTTTCACAAACTAAAATATATTTAAAAATAAAAATAGGTTAGAGAGAAGTAATGGCTAAGGAATAGTCTCATGCCTTAAATATTGAACTTTGGTTTAATTTAATGGGAACCTCAACCGTTGCCATTGGTGAATGGTCAAACTCAAAGCAACAAAGAAACAAAAATTGGAACCCAATACGTCACCGTATGGGGTCATATTCAGCTCCACACGATTTTAATTCAAAAGAGAAGCAACAAAAAGAAAGAGACAAGTTCCCTGCTTCTTCTCTTCTCCTTAAACTTTTTCTCATTTTGGTGTCGTCGTTTTTTTTCCCATTCTCCAATCCCACGTGGAGCACCGGATCTCACCCTTTTCCGGCGATAACCCACACCCTTTTCCGGCGACTTCACTCTCCCCCCCTTTCATTCCTCGATATGAATCCCGAGTAGTACGTTCCTCTCTTTCTTTTTTCTTCTTCTGCTTTGAATTTCTTGTATCCGTTGTTGAATCGCGTTCGGTTTTCGATAAATTCATTCCCTTTTCTGGTTTTTCGTTCTTGTTTCTCAAAAGGGTAACTGTGTTTGCGGTTAATTTGTGTAGATGAGTTGTTTGTCGGAGAGGGTTTAATTTTCATCGGTTTATCGTATTTAATAACCCTAGATTGGATCAGCTTTGTGAAATTGTGATATGAACCAGTTGAATTTTTTAATTTAAATTGTCTATTTTTTTCAAAACGGGGATTTAATGGAAATATATTATGTATTGGGGTAATTTTATTGATTGATTTCGAAGTTGCAGAGTCACCTTGATCTTGTTCCTTATTTGGTTTCAATGAGTAACTTGAGCATGTGCATATGTTTAAATGAATTGAAAAAAAATAAGGTGCTCATATCGAATGAAAAAGATTCATGGTTTGAATAATTTGGACTGGAATTTCATCGAGGAAATCATCAAATTATGATAAATCGAGCTGTCTACGCTTCCTTTTGTGATAAATCATCAAATTAAAGGGTAAGATTAACCCTTAATAATTAGTTGATAATATTTGTTCATAACTCCATTTGTCTCATATACTTGAAATGAAAATGCATCGAACTATCTTTGTATTTATATTTTAATTAAATGGAACAGTTGGCAAAATATTGGCCACTAATTGTAGATATTTTAATACTTGTCTTTTAACTCTCTGTATGACATGTATGTGGTTGGTCTGTAAGGTGAGTTTCTAAGGCTGATTCTTAGTCTATTTTATTTGAGAAACTTATTGTGCTGCGGTCATCCTTTGCAGTGACTATCTGTTCAAGCTCCTTCTTATTGGAGACTCTGGTGTTGGTAAATCATGCCTTCTTCTGAGATTTGCTGTAAGCTACTTCTTTTTATATCCTATATTGTCATTTTTTATTATTTCCTTATACTGTTTTACCATATATTTCCACCGTTTTATATATTTTTATTCTTTTTTCCAAAAGAGTGGAAACTGGTTGCTGCCTCTGGCATTTGCTTTCTGTCTTTTGGTATTCTGAGCAAGTTCAGTCTAATTTATTTCTGATGCAAAAATATAGACTAGTGCGAGATGTTTATTGAACAATTTCATGGTAACACTGATTTAGGCATTAAGGCAGGATGCTTAGATTTAGAGAAAACCTTGGAAGTTGGAATTGCATGAGAAAATTGGTAATGACCCTATAGTTTCTGCCTGGTTGTAGTTGTCCAATTAAATTGACAGTTGTGACTCTTCAAAAGCACAAATGGGTTACAAGCCAATATCCCCATTGATTTTGTGCTAAGTCTAAATAACATTAACATTAACATTCCAAAATGAGAGCTTGCCCCAGATATACCTTAAGTTACCTTGTTGGGCTCTTTTCCTTGTTGGTCTTTCTGAGTGAAAACGCTATGTGCAACAATATCATCTTGTGTGGTTTTGTAAGCTCATATAGTGTCACTTAATATGTCTTTCTGATGTGCGTTGTGTGGTTATGTAATTCCGGAAGGTTCTAACATGGAGATGGTACACTGCTGCTCAATACAGAAATTTAAGTAACTTTATGATAATTTCTATGTTATGTTACAGGATGATTCATACATTGAGAGCTACATAAGCACCATCGGAGTTGATTTTGTGAGTACAATGTTTCAACTTGCAAATTTTTAGCTTGAACTCATTTGAAATTGTGTGTCAACTGATCTTTTCATGTTTTTTTGTGCAGAAAATACGCACCGTTGAGCAGGATGGGAAGACAATAAAACTACAGATTGTATGTATCTGATTGGATTTGTTTTGCTTCTTTATTTATTACTATTATACTTTCAGTGAGCTTGAGATATATTTTAAATCTTTCATAGGAAATTTTTTTATCTGTGTGTTTATTGTTGTTCATTTCTATTTTAATTTTTAAGACCTTCTTCTTTGAAGCTGTTGTGTTCCTAGATCATGTGAGTCACTGAAATTCACAGTTTTATTGACAGAGTTTTCTTACCTTGGTTTACAATCTGTTCTTGTAGTGGGATACTGCTGGACAAGAACGGTTTAGGACAATAACCAGCAGCTACTATCGTGGGGCACATGGAATCATTGTGGGTGATGATTTTCTTAGCATAACATTTTAAATATAGAAGATTCCCTGCCTTCGTGGGGGATTTCTTTGTATACTCTACTGACTGGTTCATTTGGCAGATTGTCTATGATGTGACAGACGAAGAGAGCTTCAATAATGTGAAGCAATGGCTCAGTGAAATTGACCGCTATGCCAGTGATAACGTTAACAAGCTTTTGGTTGGAAACAAGAGTGATCTGACAGCAAATAGAGTTGTCTCATATGATACAGCTAAAGTATAGCTTTGACAGATGTCACTTTATGTTCTTATTAAGGAAATGGTCTCAAGTGTGTGTTCATGTTTACTGCAACTTGAATGATGATATTCATGTTCCTGCTCCAGCAATCCCTCACCCACCTTTCTATTTTTTCTCTTTTGCAGGAATTCGCAGATCAAATTGGCATACCTTTTATGGAAACAAGTGCAAAAGATTCTACAAATGTGGAACAGGCATTTATGGCCATGGCTGCTGCCATCAAGGATAGGTACCCGTTCCTGTTTATTATTGAATGGTAGATATTAAAGAAAATCACTAAAGTTTAATGTAACTGGCCTTGGAAGTAAGCTCAGGAAAAAATTAATTCCAACTTCTAGAAAGAATAATGAAACTTTAGCGTACCATCATTCTCTAATTACAGTCAAATCTGACTATGTCAGTTTCCATAGCTGGGAAAAGCCAATTGCAAATGAAGTACAAATGTCAAATTTTATTCTTTTTTCGTTTTTCTTTTCTTATGCTTTTATTCATAAGAGTTAAGAATATTAGCAAAAAATATGTTATGTGATTTTGTTTTAATGGCTGTTGTTTTGTGAAATCGGATGTGTAAAAGGTAACATAAAATTCTTTAGAATAAATAAAGAATCAAATTGATGAAATGCTAAGGTGTTCCTAGAACTGCTTAATATAGCCATCTTTTTACCAACCGATGGCAAAGTTGGTCAACCTGCAATCTAACTGGTCAAGCAATTCAATTACATGGAAATCTGATGATTTTGGTTGTTGGCTTTAGAATAACGAAGTAATGAAACGGTGAATATATATATATATATATGTGTGTGTGTGTATATATATATATATATATATATATATATATATAGAGAGAGAGAGAGAGAGAGAGAGAGAGAGGATCAACTTATACTGGTATAAGTTTTACACCTATTATTAGCCATTAATTCCATTTCATCTAACAACTCTAATTTATTAGTCACTTGAGCCCTTAGATGCAAGTAGATTCAATGGCTAATAATGGGTGTATGACTTATTAGACTTACATTGGTACGAGTTTATCCTCTCCCCATATATAATAAGACGCCAAGAAATAAGTGCATAAATTATAATCGGTATATAAAACTAGTTTTCCCAGCTTAATTTTAAATTTTAAAATTTCTGGTTTATCCTTCCTGTAGTTATACGCAAAGGATGATTTTGATATAGAATGATGAGTAAAGACCCGAATTGGTCCCTGACAAAAAACTCGGTGCCCAAATTAGTCCCTCACAAAAATAAACTCGTTAGATAGTCCCCAACAAAGTGAAACAGGACCCACGTTAGTCCTTCTGTCAATCCAAAACTCACGGTGTCAATGACGGTGATGACGTGTCACGTTAAGTGACATGCTGGAGGCCACGTGGGTTGAGGAACGACGTCGTTTTGAGAGACTCATCCACGTTGGTCCGTATGGTCCCTAACAGTTTTAACAAAGGGGACCAGTATGGTCCCTAACATTTTTATCGGGGTCCTTTTTAGTCCCTGCTAAAGTTCTGTTAACACCAGTGTCACCATTTGCTATTAACACACCAGCAATGTCATTTCCCCTTGTACGTGCTGATATTAGTCATGCATAACACAATCAACTTCTGCATAATTCACACCATGACATTCTTAGTTTTGTCTTTATATATTGTTTCCATTCCTTTTTTTATCTCCATCGAGTTTATACAACATTTTGTGCCAATAAACATAACTTGAAATACATAAGTCATGCTACATACATTGCATGAACAACAATTCATTACACCAGCAAATCTCAACATAACCACATTTTAAATTTTACTTCAGCCTACTTGCAAGATATATACATACTAGAAACACAACAATAATGGATCCAGCAAACACCCTAGCACACATACACACATGCATCATTTCCTTCTCAACACCCTAGGGTGTTGAGAAGGAAATGATGCATGTGTGTATGTGTGCTAGGGTGTTTGCTGGTGTGTATGTGTGTATGGGTGTTTGCTAGGGTGTTGAGAAGGAAATGATGCATGTGTGTATGTGTGCTAGGGTGTTTGCTGGATCCATTATTGTTGTGTTTCTAGTATGTATATATCTTGCAAGTAGGCTGAAGTAAAATTTAAAATGTGGTTATGTTGAGATTTGCTGGTGTAATGAATTGTTGTTCATGCAATGTATGTAGCATGACTTATGTATTTCAAGTTATGTTTATTGGCACAAAATGTTGTATAAACTCGATGGAGATAAAAAAAGGAATGGAAACAATATATAAAGACAAAAACTAAGAATGTCATGGTGTGAATTATGCAGAAGTTGATTGTGTTATGCATGACTAATATTAGCATGTACAAGGGGAAATGACATTGCTGGTGTGTTAATAGCAAATGGTGGCACTGGTGTTAACAGAACTTTAGCAGGGACTAAAAAGGACCCCGAAAAAAATGTTAGGGACCATACTGGTCCCCTTTGTTAAAACTGTTAGGGACCATACTGACCAACGTGGATGAGTCTCTCAAAACGACGTCGTTCCTCAACCCACATGGCCTCCAGCATGTCACTTAACGTGACACGTCATCACCCTCATTGACACCGTGAGTTTTGGATTGACAGAAGGACTAACGTGGGTCCTGTTTCACTTTGTTGGGGACTATCTAACGAGTTTATTTTTGTGAGGGACTAATTTGGGTACCGAATTTTTTGTCAGGGACCAATTTGGGTCTTTACTCTAGAATGATTTGATTACTTTTGTTAATTCCCTATTGAACAAACATTTTCTTGTTCTGGCATTGATTCCTTCCAAGAACGTTATCTTATGATGATTTTATCCTGAATGTAGAATGGCAAGCCAACCAGCCGCAAATAATGCAAGGCCTCCAACAGTGCAGATCAAAGGACAACCAGTTGGGCAGAAAAGTGGGTGTTGTTCTTCCTAACCTGATGTTATTCAGATCCATTTCACTTGGTCTTCTACTTGCTGATTGCATGTAAAATTTGTTATTTCACTAGATAGTGGACCAATGTCACTTGGTTTGGGAATTGGCCTAGATGATCCCATTCTTTACATATACTTAAATGGTATGCTTGTGCTAAATAGTACTTTTAATGATAAAATCTCTTTTTATGTTCATATATGTTTTTATCAAGATGATACTAGTAGTTTTCTTTTACTCGAGTGCTTTGAAACGTATGCCATCTTGGAACTGTATATTTAAGCACACTTGTTCCCTGTAATAAATGTTTGATTAAGCTCTCGTCTCACTCCGAATGTTTAGTATAGGTACTCTTACTAAAAGTAGGTAAAGGTGGGATTCAGGTGACATTAAGGAGCCGTTTGTTAGAAAGATTTTTTTAAGATTCGGAGGAAATTGAAAGTGGTAATCTTATTTATTCACGTTTGGTACAAGTTTTTTAAAAAATTTCCGGGAATTCAATTTTTTTGGGATTTTATTTTGTTTGTAAATTTTTTTGAAAAAACTATCCAGAAATACCATTCAAAAGGTGGTATTTTAAGATTTCTATGGCAAGGAAAAATTTAATACAACTAAACATAGCATCAAGAAAATTAACTCAATATTTCTGGAAATATGTTAGTCTACCAAATAATTTTTTAATAACATTCTCAGAAAATTCATTTTCTCATCATATTTTTGGAAATCGTGATTTCCGGATAAAAAAAAATGTCTCCGCTCCGTAAGTGTAAAAGAGTTTTTATAATAAGGGTTAGCTTAGTGGTGTGGGGTGTGTGTGTTAGGAGTGTGTGTAGTGTAGGGTGTTGTGTTCAATTTCTTGTAACCTCCAAAAAAAAAAAAAATGCAGTTAGTTGAATTATTTGTTGTCAACTTTACTAAGTGAGACCACAATGGGATTACTTGGAGCATTGTTATTAAAACCGGTGGGACATGGGAACCAAGAACCGGATTATTAGCTGGTCTGATTCAGTCAATTAACCAATCATGAATGTAACTTAGAATAAAATTGTGAATCGGTCAAAAATCGGGTTTAACTGGTGTTAACCTGGTATTGGTTTTCTGGTTGAATTGATTTTTGAAAAATTCTACTAAGCCAAAATTTCACCATAATTGCACTCTTTGCATTTAAAATTGGCACTTAAAGGAAAAGTGGAGTGAAATAGAAACCACTAAGTTAAATTATTTTGGTTTTCATGTTACTTTTATTTATATATTTATTAAATGATTAGGATATTATACCTTTTTTTTTCATGTCTATTTTATTTACTTCTCTCCAATATACCACTATATTAAAATTTCAATTGAAATTTTAATCTTTTTCTCTCCTTTTGAGATTATGATATAATGATATTGAAGATAAGTAGATAAAATAGACATGAAAAAAGGTAGGAACAATATTTTATTCCTTGTTAAATATTTTTATATAAATTTAATTTAAGCAATTTAACTAGTAATCCATTGACTCGGTATTCCAACCGAGTCGATGACTAGTGACGAATCTTGCATGTGTTCTTAAGACGAAATTTGTCATTTTTCGGGTTTAGGTTGGAGTTTAATATGGAGTATCAGTTTCACTCGGCTAATTCAGTTTGATTCTTGTGCCTTTTCAATAACAAAGTAAACAATTTTCAATAATTCAGACTACAACATTATTCATATAAATGTAATCCATACAACAGGAAACTAACACAAAATATATGATAAGTAAATATCTCACTTAAACGTTTAAAATGATATTATATATGTCATTTTTTTTTTGTTTTACCTTGTGCTTGCTTAATTTCACTAGAAAATAGAGGAGTTTCAATGGATTGATATTATATCTCTGTGACACACTCTCTTATGCAAAAGTCCTTTGAGTTTGAATTGTAGATGTCACGAAAAGAAACTTCATTAGTTCTGATATCATAAAAAACAATTATCTCACCCAAAAATTTAAGCTAGTAAGTGATGTATTTTTAATAAATTTATATTATATTTTTCTAATAATAATTACGACTTCACAAGCTCAAAACTATAAGCAATGCATATTGTCTTGGCCTAAAATTTAAATGGACTAGGTCCTCCCCAAAGAAATTTAAAATTTTAAAACATGACTGTCATGTGGAAATTATTTATAGATAAACCAAAATAAATATGATATATTCAAATAAAATTATTTCAAGAAAAACATTTACCAACATTAGAAAACTGTCAATTAATTTTGAACTTAAGCATAACATTTGGCGTTAAAAATTATCATTGGGCTAAACCAATGTCTATAAGAGATACCATGATTGGTACATAATTGAGTTTTATGTTTATCATGTAACATGATATAACATCACTTATCTACACACACATTAAAGAGGTGGGGTCCATATGTTTTTCTTTCTCTTTCATCATTCCACTTTCTCTCTCTATTTTTTTGTATGTGTTGAAAACAACACCTAAATCATGTAACGTAACACTAATAAAACCCTACATAATTATTGTATATCGTTTACCATCTTTACATCAAAACTAATTTCAACTATATCATAATGGTTACCGTGCTCAGAAGCCAATAGTGAGTTTTCTAAATAAAAAAAAAATCGCTTGTCACGACTCACGAGTTCATATGACTCTATAATTTCGAATTTAAAATAAAAAATTAATTTAAATTATAAAGCTTTCAAATAGTCATAGAAATCACTCATAGTACTTGTAGATTTTCGTTTGTATCTTTCTCTAAAAGTTTGCATAATTGAAGTGAATGTTCCATAACCATTGAAAAGAATATTGCTTAAAGCAAGAATGAACAAAAAATAAGAATGGAAGAGGGTATGATGAATTGATGAGAAGGGGAAAAATCTATCCTTTGTAGGTAGAAAGTGATTTCATATACAAGGTAGAATTACAAATTTGCCAGTGACAAAAAAGGCCCACTATTTTTTATGTGTTTAATTTCTCTCATATTTACAGGAGATAATATAAAATTATCTCCAACACACACACATAAAAGTATGTAGAATTCATTTTTTTTTCTCTTCTCTAACATGGCTTCCCACATGGGCCTCGTATACTTTTATATATGAGATAATTTTATCTCCTATAATATGAAAAATATCAAATTAATTTTTTATATAGGGAATATGTTTCTTACGTTACAACTTACAAGAAACAAATTGTCTCATGCAATACACAAAAAAAGTGAGTGAAACCCATTAAGTAGAAGAAAGAGAAAGAAAAAAATGATTCCCATCCATTTTTATTTTTGAGTAAAGTACTTTTTGAGTCCTCAACAAAAGTCACGGGACTTATTTTAATCCCTTAAGGGAAAAAAATGGATTGTGGTCCCTCTGAAATTCAAAATAGATTCAATTAATCAAAATTACTGTCCCTCTGAAATTTAAAGAAGGCCCATATTAATCCATTGAAATGACTAATATGGATGTATTTTAAATTTAAGAGGGACTCGCGATTTTTTTTAAGCGATTAAATTGAGTTTCGTAATTTTTGTTGGAGATCCAAAAGGTATTTTATTCTTTATTTTTTGCATGAGACAATTTATTTAATGTAATATGAGAAACATATTTCACTTTTTATATTCAAACTGAGTTATATAGAAAACAAAGAATATTTCTTGGTTTCCCCACTCCCAAAAAAAAGGAAAGACTAAAACTATTATAAATTTCGTGACACATGAAATCGTTTTTGAAACGCTTGCTAAGGAAAAATAAACAAAGATCAAAGAGTTTACTTGTGAAATTGAAATAAGAATTTGTACAAAACATTAAAAGTATATACATGAATTCTATATTTTATTGGTTTGAAATAAAGAACTATCTCAATTGTGTTTATTTCAAAAAAAAAGTACATACCCAAACCATTTGGCACAGTTGGTCCGGAGACTGTGTTCACTTAACCAGTGGTCTCGAGTTCGAGCCCTGGGTATGGAAAAAAAGGATTGAGTAGAGCCTCCCCGCAAGGGTCCTACAGTGCTCGGTTTAGAATTAGTCTCACCCCCAAAGGGGGTGAGGATACCCTTCAGTTACTGAAAAAAAAAAAAAAAAAAAGTACATATACAGCTCAAATATGTTATATCATATATAATTTGAGAGTCTATTTTTTTATGTTGTTGGAGATAGTTATCTCCTAACATGATGTGATGAAGCCCACCACCTATTAAAAAAAAGAAAAATTGTACCTTGATATGAAAATAATGAGATAGTTATCTCATGTAAAATTATTTGATGATGATTTCCCATATAATTTATACTAACCGTCAATTTAGTCTTGCCAATCTTATTGCCTCTTTGATTATTATTGTAAAAGATTTAGATAAACGGTGGCCAACTTTTGGTGTCTTCATTCTCACCGTTGATCAAAATCTAGTTTGCTTTTTTTTTCCGCACTCTTCAATCTTGCCCATTGATCAAAATTTGATCTAACAGAAATTTAAAAAAAAAAGGCAGTAAAAACGATTGACCTAAATTGATAGTAAACATAGCAGGTCACTTCCTTTTAAAAAAATTAAGATAGTGAAAATTAAGACTCTTCAATCATGCCTCTTCAGTTTTGTTGTTTCCAAGAAAGTTATGTTTACTCTGTTTGGATACAACTAAAGTTAAAAAAAGAAAAGAAAGAAAAGAAAATTGATGCTATTTTAAAAAACTAAGATTTCCAACTTTAAAAAAAGCAAAAAAAATATCAATTTTGCACATAAAAAAGCTTTTTAGATAATAATCTAAAGACAACATAGCTTTATCTTCGAAAAAAAAAAATCCTTCTAATCCTTCCAAAGAAAGAGAAAGCATAACAACTTTTGTTTTTAAAGCCCATCCAAAGTCATTATAACTTTAAAATCACCCTCAAAGTCAAGTGCCACTTGCAAGTTTGTTGGCCGGCATACATCAATTCGTTATATTTAATCACAAAAAAGTACACATGCTATAAACCAAGTGACGAAATGTTTAGGTCATTCAAAAGTTAACTATCAAAAGTCAAATTGCGTGCCTCAACAAGGTTCATTTATTTTAATTTTGAGTCACTATAGTTCAAGAGCTTAAGGTCAAAGTTTCAAAGATATTCATTTTCAACTTCTTAAATTCTAGTTCTTTGAAACCGGCAAAGGATTTGTAACAATGCAACAATGACAATGAAAAATCATAATTGAAATTTTAATATTATGCACAGGCTCTTTGGTAACAGAAAAACTTTTCCATAAACCAAGGCTCAAGTGAGACCAGACTTATTAAATTGTTCTTGACTAGAAATAGAGGATATATGAGCACAAATTTTAAAACAAAACTGATAATTCAATCTATAAGTAAAACGAACTCAACAACATTTATGTCTTATCCGCCACCATAAAACCCCCCCCCCCCCCCCCCCCACAATGTCAAACATAGTAACATCAAAAGATAACAATAGAGGAAAAGGCTAGAAGGGAATAAGGACCATATGAAGAACAACCTAAATTTACAATTTTAAGGCATAAAAAGTTAAATAACCCCTCTAATTCAGGAAGTCCAATTACCACAGTTCTTTCCCTGCTTAAGTTCAAATCATAGAACCCAAAATTGAAAAAAAAATAAAAATAAAAAAAAGGACAGGGAAATGTCAGAAGGGTTCTCAAAAATCTCACTTGCCCCCCAAAGTTGGAAATTGCCCAGGATCCTCAATTGATGGAGCAGACACATGGCTGGTTGCATTTCCACTATAACCTCCTCTAGAACCACGGCCACGTCCGCGGCCACGTCCACCCGGGTAAGAGTACCTTTCCCCTTCAGCAGGCTTCAGAAAATCATTAATACTGACAGCCTGAGAATATGAAGTCCAATAAATGAAACGAACTAGTTAGGAGAAAAAGCAAGCAAATAAGCAAAGAAAATGATGGATAATAGTCTTAACAGAGCCAATCTCAACACAGAATATATTTAGGTGAATGGATAAAACGAGAGAAAATGATAAGAATTTCTTCTAGTGACATCAGAACCAACTCCAGAGTGAAGTGATTATCAAGGAATATAGTAAACACATATCGCGCATAAAGCTAGCAAGAAAAACAATAAAAGTAAAAGCAGTGGTACAAATAAACAAATTATCATCTAAAAACAAAAACATGACGCGGTCATGTAATTATAACATTTGGATTTAGAAAAACAAAACAATTGATATGTGGGTAATGGTATAAGAACCTGTTCACTATAAACAACTGTCTAAAACTGCCACAACAATAACACAAGAAAAAGCAATATGGATCATGGATATCAGCAAGTAGGAAAAAGACAGAACATGATGTCCATGTCAAGGCACTTATAAAATAGATAGGAAAACTACGGTTTGCTTAAAGAATAGAAAAGTTAATAAACCAATTTTAATGTTTCACAATAACTGCAACATGTTTTTCCTCACTTTTTATAATCAACTATTGTGGCATCTTCCAAATACTGTTAAATCGCCAAAATAAGTTCATAAAGATATTACACCTCAAATTTGATGATTTGGAATGAAAAAGTTATGAAAATGCTGTTCATTAGGCAACCAAAACTGGTAAAGTTAGACTAGAAGCAACTGATAACCTTTCAAACGGTAAGTATTGGAGGCAGGTAATTTAGATAGTTGAGCAGAAGAAAATGATCCCTGATGGAGCTTAATGCAAACTAATAAAAAAGACAAACAAATGCCACTAAATCACACCTTCTTGGATTTCTCCTCCTTCTCAAAAGCATCTTTGCGCTTATCCTTATCAGATCCCTGGAAAGGAAATAAAAGTGTCAAAAGATATCTTTAAGCATCACTAATATAATATATAATATGAACCACAAATTCAAAAAGAAGAGGGGCAAAAAACCATCACCAATTTAATGAAGATATCAACATTTTCTTTCTTGTTTGATAGTGGCTGCATGGATTCAAACTCCTTAATATCTACTTTTCTCTCTTCAGTCTTGAGTGCCTGTAGGGCCTTCCTTTTCTCTTCCATCAGTTTCTCATATTCTTCCAGTGTCATCTCCTGTCACACAATATAAACAGTGTTTAACAATGGATGAACAACAGCCAATAGAATTTAAATTTCAAATATAACACTAAAATCAGAAAGCATATGAGCAAGAAAAATAAATGCACCCAAGTACCAAGTCCTAACACTTGCAAACGCATCAAAAGGTAAGCCAACATTGGATGGAAACATTAATTCATAATCAAGAAAAAGAAACAGAGTGAGACATCCTTTTAAGAAAATAAAGCAACCCATACAATTAGTGAGATTCACTTAACAGACAAACCAAGCCAAATTTGAATGATTTATCATTCATTCCTAAGACACATATCTTCAGGTTGTCTCCTGATTATGAAAAGCAGAAAATTTAGAAGATGCAGCAGCAGATTCAGAATAAATGGAGAAAGCTTTAATTGAGCTGGCCATTCACCTTATCCTCGGGCTCCTTTTCTTCAGTTTCATTAGCAGGACTTTCCTTGTTTCCATCTGCTGCATCTTTCTCGTCTGCAGGCTTCTCATCACCCAAATTCTTCTCAGTTTCATTCGCCACTTCATCAGTCACCCTAAGGAAATTCAATATCAAAAGAAAAGGAAAGAACATATAAACAACTACGAATCAAAAGCAAGAAAATCTTCTACTGAAATCATGCTCTGTTTATTATTATTAAAATCATGACAACCAAATTTCTTACTGAGCAATTTCATCAGACTGAGTTCCCCAGTTCCCTCGTCCAGAGCCTTCACGTTTGACTTCATTTCTGTAAATAGAACAATTGATGTAAATATTGATAGAAACAAAGGTTGAAGAAATTATTAGTTATAATTTAGTAAGAGTTTTACCCTCGTCCAGTCCCACTCCGGCGTTCAAATGTTCTTCGTGGGCGACCTTCTTCATCAACTTCACCATTGCTGAAGCCTCCACGACGACCGCCACGATAAGGCCCACGAGGTCCACCATAACCGCGTCTTTCTGAGGATTTCCCAGCATCTCCTTCTTCAAATGCACCTTGATTAGGAGGGGCTCCACTTGCAGGGAATGAGTTCTCGTCACTGGAAAAGTCACGACCAAAGCCACTGCCACCTCTACCACGCCCAAAACCACGTCCACCTCCTCGGCCACCACCACGACCGCCACGAGAAGTTTCATTTTTCGCATCCCGCACTATCAATACAACAATAAAATATAAACGGATGAGAAAAACATCGCAAGGATCATCATGAATACAGTAGCCATTCAGGAATCAAGATAGTAGAGAAAAAATAATGACATATTTACTCAACTGACACAAAAAGAATAATAGACTAATAAAGTCATCAGAAACAAATCGACTTTCAATTCTGGTGATACCTTCCACACTGCAAACAATAACAAGAGACGGATAGGAATATAAATAATTGAAGGGATGCATTTGAACAAATTTCTTACTGAAGCATACGTTTGAACTGCAACTTATTAAAGTCCTTCACAGCTTTCAGTAAGAAAATCCAACGCATGATACAACAAAGAATCCACAAGCTTACAGGCAAACTTAGACAAGACCGTTTATCACTATAAAAAAACAAATTGCATTTAGTTCCTTTTGAGACTAAAGTCAAACACTAACATTGTATGCATCAAAACACACAGAAGATAATCAAAGTATGTTCAAAATTCAACCGCATATGTAGATTCCCAATAATCCCTAATACACTACCATTAAGAATTACTCATACACTATAAAAAAAGCAATAACTCGTTAAACACATTAGTTAGTATATCTAAAAAAGTCCAAAACAACACACCAGCATCAAGTGAACACATGTCAACAGTAATAAACAAAAACAACAAGAATCCAAAACCAGACAAATCCAATTTTAAAACCCATAAACAAAAAGCCACAATTTTTATGACCCAAAACACACACACACACACACAAACAAAACTTCTCCAAATGAGAATCTGACCAGCCTGAGACGGAGGAGCCGGCTTCGATGGCAACTGAGCCGGTTTGTTCTGCTGAACCGGACCGGCACGTGTTCCCGGTTTACCCTGCTCCTGACCCTTCTTCGGCACCGCCGCTGCCGCCGCCGCCGCAGCCTTCAGCTGCTCAGCCGCGATCAACTGCGACGGATCCTCAACATCATCGCCCAACAAATCAAAAGGGTTCATCGTCGCCATTTCCAAACACAACCACCGACACAAAACCTCAACCAAACCACTCGTTCCTCTTCTTAACAGACACACAAAAAACCTTAACTCCACAACGACTCCATCGTGTCAAATAAAAAACAAACAAGACAGAGAATCGCACGAACGAAGAGAACGAAAACGATGAAGGGTAAGTAAGTGAAGAAGAAGAGTGAAAGGAAAAACCCTAGCCGCAATAGGAGAGAGAAAAGAGAATAGACAGAACAATCTCAACCTAATCTCCAAATATGTTTATTTATTTGTGTTTTTTGTTTCTGGGACTTTCTTGGTATAGTAGTGTGTTGTTTGTTTGCTCACATAGATAGAAGTTCGTGAAATGCGGCCTATGCAATTATTTTATTATTATTTTCTTCTTATTTTGTTCAACATTAGTCTCTTTTGTTTACTCAATATTACACTAGGGTTTTAAGGAGATGGATTTTCTATTTTTTTAAATGTGATCACGTTATGTAATATATCTTAATGATCATTGATTAAAATGATACTTTTTTTATTTTATAAATTTTTTCAAAGCTTATTTTGGTCCGTAACAACAAAATATGATTTCCACTTTTGTCCCTTATGAAAAAAAGTCAATTTTTGATCTCTTTACAATTTTAATTCTTTGAAATTGTGATTTCTCATAAATTCAATGAAGACCCAATTTAATTCCTAAAAAATAACTAATATGGATTTTTTTTTTTTGTGAAGGAATAAAACGAGAATCGTGTTTTTTTTGTTAGGAACAAAAAGAGCTCTACTGACCCAATGGGTGCAGCTCAGTTGGTAACTTGGCGCTGAGTTAGTGGGGTTGGATATGTGTTCGATTCCCGCTGAATGTATTCTTGGGGAGGGGGCTGAATCGCCATCACTGTTCCCCGCACTCCGGATTAGTCTCATAGCTGGCTCAAAGAGTCGAAGCTCGTGGGGATACCGGAAGGAGCCAACTCGTCTCAAAGAGATAATTAAGGTTGAGTAACTCCAAAAAAAAAAAGAGCTTTACTGTTAAAATTATGATCATTATTTTTTTTACACGACAGGGTCTTCTTAAAAAAATAAACATAACAGGATTTGTTACTTTAATCTTTATGATGGTGGATTAAGAATATTTTATTTGATTAGTATTTTTATATTTTTTTTTTTTCTTAATTGTTTACTTATTATATCATGTCGACATATATTATGCTTCTTGGTTGTTCAATATTTGTATAATCAAAAATATTATAGCATAATGCCATCTCGTTTAATTGTGAATTATGTTCGTACCGCGTATCATCTTTGATTAAGCAAGAACTTAGACAATAGTAAAAATATTAATTAGGATGAGTGCATGTTACTAATAATATGGAAAATTTATTGTTAACTCTCTTAAAGTAGAGTTAGATGATATAATCTACTATGTTTTGGTGACTTAAAAAGTTATTTTCATACATAATTAGGTGTTAAATGCTGAAGAATGTGTAACAACATGCTATGGTGACAATATAGATCATGACAAAAAGCTTGAATATGGTTTCTGTGTGTTAATTTTGAGTTAGTTTGGCTTAAAAGCTAAAACATGTGAATTACTAAAAAGGAAATATTTTTTTTATGTCGTAGGAAAAAAGTTATTTCATATTGTAGAGATAAAATTATAAGTGCGACCTACAGGTAAGAGAAGAGAAAAAAAAGAATAATAAAACTCAATACATTTTCCTATATGTATGAAAGTTATTTATCTCGTATAAAATAAGATAAACATAACTATTATTAAAATAGAGTCTTTTATGAGTTTGCAAGCGGAATTAATAGAAGATGCACATGGACAGGGATCACCATTGAAGAAGGAAAAGACTAAAAAGCCCTTGCAAAATAACTAAAAAATTTATGGACCATCAGATAAGCCTCAAAGTGAATGGTTGAGATTAAGTCAAAGATGAAGAGAGAAAAAATTAATTATAAGGAGGAACAAGAATCTAATCTATCCTCGTTCATTCAGTCAACGTTCATTCATCTTTCAGCTTCACTCCGAAACACCCTTGTTCTATCACTTTCCATTTTTATTCAAGTAAGTAGAATGTGTTAAGGAATTTACACTGTATTGGGAACCTATACCCGAGCTTGTTCCTGTGATATGAATATAGATATAAAGTCTCTTTGGATGAGTTTTTTTTTTCTTCAAAAGCTTTTTTTTTAAGGAAAAAAAGCACTTCTCGAAAAAAGTCTGTTTGTATGTTTGTTTTTTAAAAAAACAGAAGTTATAAAAAAAGTCAAAAATTTACTTTTTTCAAAATCTAAAAATTTTAGCTTATAAAAAAAGTAGAAGTCAAAAGTCAAATATTTTTTTCAAAAATCAAATATTTTTCTAAAAATCTAAATAGCTGTAACTTTTATAAAAAGTACTTTTAAAATAAGAAAGTGATAAAAAAAGACTTTTTTAAAAAGTGAATACAAACGGGCCACGGTCTTGAGAAGATGAACAAAGGAAAATAACGATACGAATCATGTTGTATAGCTAAGGAAGCATTCATATTTCAGGTATTTGATTGATGGGTATGATTTGCTCAAAGTAGCACGCTCTCCCTATCTTACAGTACATAGTAAAGCTTAGTTTTATCTTTTGTCAGCTAGTCTTTCATACAAGTAGTTCAATTGTTGTGTAATCAGTTATTTTAGTTAGCACTTTAGCTTAGCTGGCATATATCTGTTGGTCATCTCAATTGGGCTTTATTCCCTCCTGTTTTAGGCCTATTTATTAGCTGCCACATTAGCATATGCTTATATACCTGTATTATGTATCAGAACAATTAGTTAATCAAGAATGAAGTTTTTAGTTTTCACTATATATCAATTTCTTCTCTCTACTTTGACGGTATCAGACCATTAAGGCTCTAGTATTCATCTTCGATCCTTCTTCTTCTTGCTTCAGCATTGTGGTGCTGTGTCTCAATTCAACATGGCTCAAGAAAATCAGAATTCTACCAATCGTTCTTCTTCTCCCTTACTTAAATTGTCTAATGTTCTTTATGTACCTTGTTTTCGTGTTAATTTGATATTCATAGCAAAGCTTCTTGGTGAATCTGATTGTCACGTAAATTTTCGCTCATTAACCTGTTATATTATGCAGAATATCAATGGGAAGACGATTGGTTCTGCTAACCTACATATGGCCCGTTCGAATGAGTTTTTTCTTCTTCAAAAGTTGCTTTTTTTCAAGAAAAAAAGCACTTCTCGTTTTTAGTTCGTTTGGATGTCTGCTTTTAAAAAAAAGGAGAAGTCACAAAAAAAGCCAAAAACCTACTTTTTTTCAGAAGCTAAAAATTTTAATTTCTAAGAAAAGCAGAAGTCAAAAGCTAAATTTTTTTTTCAAAATCTAAATATTTTTATAAAAATATAAATAGCTTTAACTTTTGTAAAAAGTACTTTTAAAATAAGGAAGTGATAAAAGTTACTTTTTCTAAAAGCTTAAACAAACGACCTCTATAATGGTTTGTTCATCCTCAATTACACAACTGGAAATTCTATCAAGAATAAAGATTCTGTAAAGAATCAATTCAACCCAAAAGCTTAAGCTTAAGCTGTTAGGAGAGGCTATATTAATGATTTTATATATCTCAACATGTCCCCTCACACGAGAGCCCACTAGGCTTGTGGACAATGCACAGGCCCACCTATGTGAAGAAAGAAATTTCACTAGAAAGAAAGTGAGGGATGGTGAGGATCGAACCCGGTACACCGAGGCTCTGATATCATGTAAAAAACCAATTCAACCAAAAATTTAAGCTGTTAGGTGAGGCTACATTAATGGTTTTATATATCTCAACAGATTCCAATAAATGCTATGCTATAAGAGCATGGTGGTCAATTCTACAATCTGGCATCAACGACTTGAACATTGCTCTCAATCTATTTTACATAACATGTCAAAGTATTGTCATTTCATTTCTTGTAAAGACCAAGTTGACTTTAGTGATGTATGTCATTACTCTAAACAAAAACGTCTTGTCTTTCCTCTCAGTGTTTCTAAATCTTTAAAAGCTTTTGATCTATTGCATGCTGATATATGGGGTCCCCATGCGACACCCTCAATTAATCCATGGTCTTTGATATTTTTTAACAGTTGTAGATGATCATTCTAGGTTTACTTGGGTAATACCAATGAAATCAAAAGCTAAAACATGTTCCTACCAACGTAACTTCATTTTTTTAGTGGAAACTCAATTTTATGGCATTGTCAAAACAGTTCAAACAGATAACGGACCAGAATTTCTCTTGACAGAATTCTACAACTCCAGAGGAATAATTCATCAAGCCATATGCGTTGAATGCCCGCAACAAAACGGTGTTGTGGAGCGAAAACATCAACCCCTCTTAAACACTGCTCATTCCTTGTTTTATTCAGTCTAGCATTCCCAAAATATATTGGTGTTATTGTGTCATTCATGTAATATGTAAACAATGTAAATAATGATGTGGCATGATTAGTTGTTAAACCATGTTCTGTTAAAAGTTAGTTAGCTTAGTTATTGAGTTGTATATAAAAACCCCTGAGTTGTAATAACCGTATTTAAGTAATGAATTGATGCATGTTGTTTTCTCCTTCTGTTCCTCCTCTTTGTCCCTATTCTCTCTAGAATGTTCATTGTGTTCTTCATTGTTTAGATGGTATCATAGCTTCCTGGCTCTGGTATCCACTGTTTTTCGCTGTACATACTCTGAGTCTTCTCATGGATCATTCACGATCGTCCATGGAGAATTCAAGTGAAACTGAAAACCAAGATCCAAACCAAAACTCCAACCAGATGCATAATGCAAAAGAAAACCAGATCCAACCACCTGATTTCCTAAACAATCCACGAAATCCTCTTTATCTTCATCCTAATGAAAGTCCATCCACCATACTGGTTTCACCACCACAATTTATTTGAATTAAATAAAGATAAAGGTATTTTGGGTCAAATCATAATTCTAGATTTTTATTGGGTTTAATTGAGTTTCGTCAGATTTTTCCAGATTTACACTACTTTCGTATTTTGTCCATATCTCACTCTAATGATGTCCGATTAACTCCGTTCTTGTTGCGTTTTTCAGCTAACAAAAAGGGATGCAATCGCTATTTCAGCTAATGAAGCCTAATTCGGATGGGAAGATGGTCGAAACCTGAGCCCAAGATGACGTGTTTTTGCTAAAATTTTATTTTGACATTTTGACTTGTAAGTTAATTAGAACCCAATGTGTTTAGGGCCTAAGGCCATGTTTTAATGTTTTATTTTATTTTATTCAGTTTTTATTTTATGTATGGGCCG